TTTTGCCCTTTAAATGATGCTCACTCCCCAGAGAGGCTGCGGACGGTGGGAACGCTGCCCACCGGAGCCCCCAGCACCAAGGCCAGAGCTGCGCCTCCCTTGCCCTCTGCATGTGCATCTCCTGGGGGTGCGGGGGTGCTGCATGTCCTGTCTCCACTGCCCAAGGACTTGTCCAAGGTCACAGCGCCCCATGCCCTCTTGCCTCAGCCTCATCTCCCTGTGATTAGCAAATGCCACGTGGTCACTCGCAGCAGCACCCAGGAGGGCCGTCTGTGGGGTATGAGCCCAGCTGCCTGGACCCAAAGCCCAGCTCTGCCATGAGAACTGGGGCAAGCAGCTCCTGCGTCGAGGCCCAGCACCCTTGGTATAGCTTGGGGACAGGAGAACCCAGCGATGAGGGGCAGGACTTGGAGCAAGCGGATGTTCAGCTCAACTCAGGCCCGACATTGGCAGGCCTTCGTAAAGGAGCCAGCAACTGTAGGAGTGAATTTTCCTGCCATTTTAGGGGAATCAGCCTGAACCCTGACTGCATCTGTGCAGCACTGAAAAAATACCCCCAGCCCTGCTGCTTGGTACCCCGGGAGAGCCTGATGAGCTCCCCTGGAGGCGGGGCCTGGACAACAAGGCTTCAGGAGCTCCCAGGTGCTTCCAGTGTGCAGCCTGGGTCAGAAGACCATTGCAGTCAAGCAAAGGCGCTGGCCTCTGGGATAACAGGCAGGTCCCAAGGTGGAGCAGGGGGACCAGGAGCCTGGCGGGAAGGGCAGGGCTTAAACCCAGGTCTGGCCTCTGGCTTGTCTGGGGTTGGAGTTGAAAAGGCCTCTCGCAGTACAAAGGCTTCAAGCCACACTGGTGTCCTTCAAGAACCTGCCCTGCCTGGGCTTCCCATTCCCTGGGAACCAGGCCCACTGAGCCACACTGCCCTCAGCCTTGTCCTAGGAGGAGGCTGGCACTGCCTCCACTGGGCCACCCCTCGCCTTAGCCAAGGGCTCTCCTCTGAGCCGCACAGCAGAGGTACAAGGGATCCCATGCACACGGTGGCCTTGACGACAGCAGCCCCTGGACTTGTGAAACTGGAGGCTCTTGCTGGGGAGAGTGCTTCACAGAGAGGGAGACTCAAGCCTGGCAGGGGATTGGCCCCACTGCACCCCAGCACCAGCCGAGGGCCTGACATACAGGAGCCCGCAGGCCTGTTGCTGCAAGGAGGAAGCAGCTAGAACGTCTCTCCACATCCCTCCTAGGGCTCAAGACTCTAAGAGGGCAGGCTCCGGCTCTATCTCCCCAGGTAGCCACAGTTCCAAGACTGGTCCCCTCCATGTCCCTGAAGGCAAGGACCCCACTTATTCCCTGACTTGGGGATGCTGGGTGCCTGCATCCAAGGTCCCCCATCTGGCCTCCTCCTGCCTGACTCCTGGCCCCCGGAACCACTCCACACATCTTGGAAAAATCTGTTAGAAACATCTGATTGTCACTGACTAGATAAGACAATGAACTTCTCTCCTGTGCTGCTCAGCTGCCTCTTTGCAAGCCCCAAATTAAAATTCCAGACCAGAAAGAAGGATTTAAATTGGATTATTGGATGGGGTCCAGGGAGAGAGGAACAATGGAGTTGGGGGCGGGGGTCTAGGCCCCCAACACACATCTCTTCATATCAGGCTGCAAACAAATGTGGCAAAAGAGGAAGGGACCAGAGCTCGACTTAAAACATAATTAACACCAAAGGTCCTCTCGAACAATTAAGACCGAGGAGGGGGAGGGGTGGTCCATTCTCACAGGCCTGGAACCAGGAGCGCTGGTTAGGAGGAGTTACCAGCAGGGAGGGCCCTCGGGGCACAAGCACCAGCTTCAGGAACACTCAGCAGGGGGAACCAAGGGCCTGGCTCAGGGTCGGGGAGACCCAGGTTCAAATCCTGGCTCTGCCAAACCCACGTACCTCCGAGTCTTGGTGTCCTCCTCTATGTGGGGTGGCAGGGCCTCCCTCTGGGGCTGCTGTGACCATGACGTGTGGGGTGGGCATGGGGCACAGTGCGGTAAGCCTCTGCTTGCGGTGCACACACCCCATATTGGAGCACCGGCTCAAGTCCTGTGCTTCTGACCCAGCTTCCTGCGAATGCACCTGGGAGGCGGTAGAGGATGGCTCAAGTACTTGAGTCCCTGCCACTCACATGGGAGACCTGGATGGAGCTCCAGGTTCCTAGCTTTGGTCTGGCTTAGCCCTGGCTGTTGTGCGCATCTGGGGAGTGAGCCAGTAGATGGAAGATATCTCTTTCTCTCTCTGTGTGTCTGTGTGTGTGTCTTCAAAATAAATAAATCTTTATTTTTTTTATTTGACAGGTAGAGTTATAGACAGTGAGAGATAGAGACAAAGAGAAAGGTCTTCCTTTTCTGTTGGTTCACCCCGAAAATGGCCGCTACGGCCGGCGCTGCGCCGATCCGAAGCCAGGAGCCAGGTGCTTCCTCCTGGTCTCCCATGCAGGTGCAGGGTCCAAGCACCTGGGCCATCCTCCACTGCCTTTCCGGGCCACAGCAGAGAGCTGGACTGGAAGAGGAGCAACCGGGACTAGAACCCGGTGCCCATATGGAATGCTGGCACCGCAGGCTGAGGATTAGCCAAGTAAGCCATGGCCCCAATAAATAAATCTTTAACAAAATAAAAAGAAAGAAACTGCCCAGTAGGTGTGTATTTTTGCCATCTTTCTTCCATCGAAAATAATCTGTATTAGCACTGATTGTACACCAGGCCATGGGCTGGAAAGGAGAGACATCTGTCCTCCCCTGAGGGGTAGGGTCCAGCACAGAGGGTGCAAGGAGAGGGGCGGGGCCAGGACCCCCAGGCTCTGGCTGTCCTCTGCCCCAAGCCATTCGAGCTGAATGTTCCTCTAGGGCTGGGCAAGGGGCTTGTGGGGAACTTCCAGTCCTGGGATCCCCAAGGAGCATGGCAAGAGGGTGTGGCCAGGCATCTGAGGTGCCACTGAGGCCACCAGGCCTGGAGGCTACAAATGGAAGTCCTAAAGGTCTGAAGGATGCCTCTTCCCACACAAGTTCAGGGCTGGGTGGGTCGCACTTTGTTCATGGAGCAGAGGGCAGCAAAGCTGGAATGAAGGAAGAAGGAGACAGAGAAGGAAAGGAGGGGAGGACGTCAGGTTGAGCCCAATTCCTGGAAAGGCCAGGAGGTGGAGTGTGGTGTGCTGGCTAGGTGGGGCTAGCAGACAGGGTCCCATGACCTGTCTGGGAGGGACCTTTGGACCCCACTGGGCTGCTGTCCCAGCCAAGGGGTTGGCTTTGCCTCCTGCAACAGCTCACTTCCCCGACAGTCTCCCTGTACCTGTGGCTAGGAGATCTTGAAGACAAGGCAGGCATGCGCTGCACCCAGCTGTGGATCTTCTAGGTCTGCCATGGGCAGGACAACCTTGGAGTCCACTTTCTTTTCTTTTAAGATTTATTTTTTTCTTATTTATTTGAAAGTCAAAGTTACAGAGAGGGAGAGAGAAATTGATCTTTTATCTGCTGGTTCATTCCCTAGATGGTCACAATGGCTGGGGCCGGGCTGGGCTGAAATCAGAAGCCAGGAGCTTCTTCTGGGTCTCCCACATGAGTGCAGGGGCCCAAGCACTTGAGCCATCTTCCAATGCTTCCCCAGGCACATTAGCAGGGAGCTAGATGGGAAATGGAGCAGCTGGGACTCTAACCGGTGCTCACATGGGATACCTGCGCTGCAGGCAGAGGCTTAACCCCACACGCCACAGAGCCGGCCCTGGAATCTACTTTCTCCAGGCCTCTGACCCTAGGATGTGGCCTCTCCCCATTCTGAGACCAGGTCACAGCAGGGGTGACCTGCTGAGGGGCAGCAGGGCCCAGTGCCTGGAGAGAGGGATTCTAGTACCCTCCTGGGGCCTGGGGATTGAGGGGTCTGGGCTGGGGTGGCAGCCCTGACTTGACCCTTCCAGCCTGGACATGGCTTGCATGGACTTTCTCATTTTTAAAAAAGCTACTTTATTGAGATACAATTCACATATCAGCAAAATCGCCCATCTAAAGCACACAATTCCGTGGTGTTTAGCATATTCAGAGTTGTATAACCATTGCCACAATCTAATTTTAGAATATTTTCATCACCCCCAAAGAAACCTTGTACCCATTAGCAAAGCTCTCCCCACCCCTACCCCTCCAGCCCCAGGCAACCGCATATCTACTTTCCATTTCTATTGCTTTGCCTGCTCTGGACATCTCATAGAAATGGGATCACACAACATGTGGTCTTTTGTCACCAGCTTCCTGCACTTTGCATAATGTTTTCAAGTTCATCTACGTCACTGCGTGTAGCAAGACTTCATTCTTTTTTATTGGCCCAGTCTACCTTCGACACAGGCTGCACAGCTGCAGGTGCCTCTGATCTGGGGTCAGCCTGGTCACCTCCTGCCTGTCTCCACAGCACCCACCTAGGGGTCTGCCTGCATTGTCAGGATGGCCCAGCAGGTCCGGGCACCCTGCAGAACCCCTGGGGCTCACAAGCACATCTCTCTAAGGCCCGGGGATGAGTGCAGAGAAATGATATGCCAAGTCATGGGCAGAACACTTCAGCCTCCAGCCGTCCATGCCATGCCCTCCCCGTAGAGCATCCGGGGCCCCTTAGTACCACAGCCCCATCATCAACAGTTCACTCTCCTGGCCAGGTCCTCGCCTAGAGCACCACCCACAAACAGCAGGGGACCCACAGCAATGGCAGACCCTCAGGCCGGGGGGAAAAAGGGCTCCCACCTTCATGCCCTCACAGGGCCCCCAACACTCCAGGCCACCCCTCGCGCAGCCCACTCCAGACAAAACCCTCTCGCTCCCGCCTCAGCTGCTGCAGCCTATGTGGACACAGCTCTACCCACCACAGCCTAAATTCAGAGGGCCAGGAAGCCATGTGCTGACCAAGGGTGAAGACATGGCACGCAGGACGGGGCTGCTCCACCTGGCCCTGCCTCAGTATGTCCCTAGCTCCCAGCCCCCATGCCTACCTTCAGGGCCTGCACCTTCCTGTCCAGCAGGCTCTCGATGTCCCCGGCCACCTTCTCCACCAGCTTCTGGGGCTCATTCTCCTGCACTTCAAACAGGTTCCTGTTGTCCTTGTAGATCTGGAAGGAAGCAGAGGCCGGAGGTGAGGCTAGAGTGGTCCTACGCTCCCGCGCCAGGGCCCCTGCATGCCTGCTCTGCAGTCTTCACCCCTCCCCACCCTGGCCTTGGCCCCTGAGAGTGAGCATGGAAGACCAGGGCCCTCAGGCACCATCAGGGTCAGCTCCACAGCCTGTGTCGGGGATGAGGCCACTGTGTGGTTGGTGGGATCTGGTTGTCACCATCATCTCTGGGTCTCGGGGTTCCCCCTGCAGGACCAGGAGCAGCAGCCCCCTTCTTGCTCAGAGTGGCTGTGCAGAGCGGGGGGGTGAGGTGGGGGGGCGGTGGGCTGGCCAGAGGCAGGACGTCAGGAGTGATGGTGCCGCTAAGCACGCTATCCACCCACAGGCCCACATGGAGGTGCTCTCACGCCCATGCATGTTTGTACACGTGCACACCCACATGCACATCACACACGCACAGCCAGCCCCCTCCTCCTGCCACGGGCTCAACTAGCCACGCTGCTACCCCCGGGCATTCCTAGAAACTGTAGCCTCTGGGGGCTTCTCTGTCACTGAGGGCATAGGCCATGGAGGGCAGGGACCAGGGCAGAAGGAACAGGTCGGGGGGATAAATCTGCCCGTCCGTCCCTCCACCTGGGGCTGGGGGTCTGTGCTCATGCATATGTGATGTGAATCTGATAGCATGTGTGTGTGCATGTGAGAGACACAGACCAGGCGGGGTGTGTGTGTGGTGGGGGGGAGAGACGGCACTACACATCGGCCTGTGTGCAAGTGCACACAGTTGGGTATGGGGCTGCTTAGGACTTCTAGATGAAGCCTGGGGGCTTGCAGGACTCTCAGAAGCACATTTCTGCCAGAGCCTTTGTTTGTGGCCGGGGTCTTGAGTGTGGGCTCATGCATGCATGCACATGTGTGCGTGTATGTGATACACTCCTGCGTCTGTCTCCAAGCCTGACTGGGTCTGGGTGTCTATTCAGGTGACCTTAGGCAGTTGGGCCCCTTTCCCACGCGAGGTCACAGGCCAGACTGCCATGACTGTGCTGAGCCACCAGGCTGTGCAGAAGGAGAAAGCAGAGACAGAGAGGCGATGAGGGGAGATAAGGAGGGGGCAGAGGCAGCTGATGCAAGACAGACAGGCAGAGATCAGGTCGGCAGAGGGACAGCTGGACGGTGGGGAGATAAGGCCTCTGCCGTCCGACAGGGGGATGGGCCAGGCGCTGCCAGAGCTGCTGCCCTGCTGCCCACCCAGTGCCCGGCAGTGCAAGGGTTAAAGCACTGCTCAGAGCCGGCTCAGGCAATCTTCTCCTCCCGCCACCCCCCATCCTCCCGGCTTCTCTTTTCTTTTTGTCCTTCTCTTAGAACAAAATAATTTGTGGTGAAGTCGCTCCTTCCCGCAGAGCAGTGGCAATTAGGGGGCAAGCTGCAAGGCCTGGCCGCGAGGCTGGGGAGGATGGAGGCCCCAGGTGGGCTCCAGGCCAGGCTACTCCCCAGACCCTTGGATGGGGGGCCCTCAGAGAGAGGACAGTGATAAAGACAGAGGATGAGGAGGGGTCGGAGCCTGGGGGTCACAGGGACATGCAGGGAGCTGCAGCCCAGTGCCTTACGGCTGGGGGAACTGAGGCTCAGAAACAGGAGAGGCTAGGTCAAGGCCATGTAACCGAAGGGCAACACCAGGTCTCCCATCTGCTCTGTCCCATCCTTCCCAGGTTTGGAGACACACTCCCCTTTCTCCAGTCTCAGACCACACCCCACAGCTGTGTTGTGGCCGTGGTCTCAGCCACAAAGGCTGAAGGCTCCACCAGGTGGTACCTTGGGCCCACTTGTGCCAGAAGGGGGTGCAGCAGCCTGGCTTCCAGGGTGGGGGTGGGGGGCTGGTGATGAATTTCCCCCGTCAAGGTCATTGCCAGCGCAGCAGTAGGTCAGGGCAGACCACAGCGGCAGCCACCCCAGGATCCGAGGCTGGAGCCCACAGGTCTGACATCTCTCCTGGGGGAACCTGGGAATCCCTACCCCAGGGCCCTAGGGGCCCTTACAGCCTGGAGTAGTGCCTACACGGGGCTCAGGAGAGGAGGCCTCCAAGTGACAGGGGCTCTTCCCAGGTAACCGGCAGATGACCTGAGAGTTTAGAAGCTGAGACCCTGCCCAAAGTCACCCATCTCTGAATCTCAGTGGCCAAACTATTAGACAGAGAATGGCTGCCCCACCTCACAGGTGGACCCAGGACAGCAGCAGCCCTCTTGTCACTCCTGCTGCTGCTCAGGACTGCTAGAATTCTGCAGAAGGAGTCACAGTCCCTTCCTGCCCCCACCCTCTCTCTGCTAGATCTGCGCACTTACGGCTGTCCAAAGCCATCAGCTTCCATGCCTCTAGCCCTACTCCCTCCTGTTGGGTCCCCACCCCCACCTCCAGTCACTGTCCTTGTCTCTGACACCCCAGCCTCAGCCCTGGAGGTGATAGCAGGAGTCCAGACGCCAGGACGCCCCTGACAGGGCACAGCAGGGCCAGCTCCCTTCCATCTCCCCCAGTTCCGTGTCTGTGTGCAGCGGATACTCGGTAAATGCATGTGCCCAACTCTCCATGTCCAAGAGCAGCTGAGAGACCTCGGAGCCCAGGGATGGGCCTCTGTCCTGCTTTGTTCCTGCTCCACTTCTACCCAAGGACGGCCTCCTGCTAGCCCTGGTGCCAGCGTTTGGGCCTCTCCGGCCCATCAACATGCCATGAGCCTGCAGGCCTGGGGGGCCCACTGCCAGCCACACCTTTTTCGCATACTGCATGAGGCACAGCAGTCCTAGAAGGATGGTCCCCCAGGGCCTCACTCTTCAACGTTCTCCTGGGCCGGCTCCACTTGTCCTGTCTCCTGGGATGAGTCCTGAGCTGGGCCCAGAGTCCCGGGGTCCCTGAGTGACACAGTCCAGGACATGGCTCCACCCTGGAAGATAGGTCATTACCACATGGATATGGTCCAGGGAGGTGCTTTCCACCTGCAGGCCCTGCAGGGAGCCCAGGAGAGCTCTGAGGAACCTCAGAGCGTGGATCCTGACCACAGCTAGTTCCCTTGGAGCCCCAGCCTCCAGCCCTGCACCTGCAGCCAGCCAGGAGGCAGCAAGAAGACCAGGGGCCACAGAGGTACGGGGCCTTGTTAACCACGGCAAGACCACACAGTGGTTGGTGTCCTTGGCCCAGAGTTAACTGGAAAGGCCCAACATCAGGGCGCCACCTCTCCTCGGGTGGTTGGATGGGGACAGTGATGGGGTCCAGCAGAGCCTTGGGGTGTTGCAGCTCCAAGCCAGCAGTGATGAGGAGAGGCAAGGGTTTCATTCTACACAGGACTGTAGAATGGTAGGGGACCTGTGGGAGAGGGCAGGTGGTACAGCGGCAAAGGGGTTGTGAAACCGGGCAGGGGGCAGGGTGCCTAAAGCCACGAGGAATAATTCTGGAGGCTGTTTGGAACCCCTCAATTCCCCCACCCTGTGCTATGTACCTATGGTCACTGCTCACCTGAATGTCCCCCTCCTTGGAGGACACACCTACCCCCCAGTCACAGAGAGACCTGTCTCTCCTCCCTCCCCTCCCCTGGTGCCAGCTCCAACCCAACCTTCGGGGCCTAGCTATTCTTTGTTAAGAGACACATCTGGGGGCCAGCGCTGTCGCGTAGCTGGTAAAGGTGCCGTCTGCAACCCAGCATCCCATATGGGTGCCAGTTCATATCCTAGCTACTCCACTTCAGACCCAGCTCCTGGATGACAGCCTGGGAAAGGCAACAGAAGATGGCTCAGGTGCTTGGGCCTCTGCACCCACACAGGAGACCAGGAGGAAGCTCCTCACTCCTGGTTTCGGCCTGGCGCAGCCCTGGCCATTGTGGCCATCTGAAGAGTGAACCAATGGATGAAGATATCTCTTTCTCTGTCTCTGCCTCTCTCTCTGTAACTTTGACCATCAAAAAAATAAAATAAATCTTAAAAAAGAAGGGCATGTCAAGGCCAGCGCTGTGGCATAGCAGGTAAAGCCGCTGCTTGTGGTGCCAGCATCCCATATGGGTGCCAATTCGAGACCCGGCTGCTCCACTTCCGATCCAGCTCTCTGCTGTAGCCTGGGAAAGCAGTGGAAGATGGCTCAAGTCCTTGGGCCCCTGCACCTGTGTGGGAGACCCCAAAGAAGCTCCTGGCTTCAGATCGGCACAGCTCTGGCTATTGTGGCCAATTAGGGAGTGAACCAGCAGATGGAAGACCTCTCTCTGCCTCTCCTTCTCTCTCTGTGTAACTCTGACTTTCAAATATAATAAATACATCTTAAAAAAAAAAAAGAAGGGCATGTCTGACAAGTCTCGGGGTTCCTCAGCCTCCTCTGGGGTCCCAAGCACAGTGCCCAGCTTTGTACTCCCCCAGATGGCCCTGTATAAACAGGAGGACGTGTGCAGGGGCAATGACCTGGGACCGGAAGCCTGGCCCTCTCTGGGCTAAGGGGGCCACCATCATCCCCACAGCTCCCAGCAGAACTGACTGTGACAGGGGGTCAAGCTAGCAGCCCCAACACGGCTACACCTGCACCTCTGCACCTCGGACAGCCTCCGGGGGAGACAAAAGGCCTCAAGACAAGTAGCCTGGGCAGATCCCCATCAGATGCATTTTGGAAGGCTCCAGAGAGCCAGCAGCAGAGGGGCCCAGACCTGAGCCAGCACCCAACCTGCCTAGGGTGAGGAGGGAGGTGGGAGGGGAGAGGAACCAGAGATGGAGGAGGGGGACAGGAAGGGAGAAGCCTCAGGAGCACCCCTGTCTGCTGAGCGTTGGCTGTGGCCACCCCGGGCAGGTACTCTACACACTCATCTCTAGCAACCCCGAGGAGAGGTCATTCCAGCGTCCCCTCTTGGCGGACAGGACACTGAGGGCCATCAGGCAAAGCCATACAGTGCAGCTGGGGCCTCACCGGCTCTGTGAGATCCAACGTCCTTCCTTTGGGTTCCAGTCTTGGTGCAGTTCTGTGCCTTGCATCTACCGTTAAAC